ACAGGAGACAGAACCAGCTGGAGGCCGTGAGACTGAGGAGCAGGGATGGAGCAAATTAACCATCTTCCTTCCCAGGCGTTGCCTCAGTTTCCTTCTTCTTTATATCATTTATTTCAAGCTCCCTGTGGACGGGCTCCAGGTGGATCAGGGCTCAGCCCCATAGAGCCCTTTGGGTGAGCTTCCTCCCCAGTTCTCAACACACTCCAGCTCCACCACTTACCGACCCTGCAACCCTGAACGAATTCATTAGCTGCCCCTTTAACAGCTTTATTGAGAATTAATTCAGCCATTTAAAGTGCATGGTGGTTTCTGGCATGCGTGCTCAGTCGCTTCAGTCTTGTCCAGCTCTTTGCGACCCTATGGACTGTAGCCCACCAGGCTCCTCTGCCCGTGGGGTTCTCCAGACAAGAAAACTTGAGTGGGTTTCCATGCCCTCCTCCAAGGGATCTTCCCTACCCAGGGACTGAACCTGCATCTCCTGCACTGCAGGTGGATTCTTCACACACTGAGCCACCTGGGAAGCCCCTCCTGGCATATTACATTATTATTAACGTTATTTTTGGCTGTGCCACGTGGCGTGTGTGTTCTTAGTTTCCCCACCAGGGATCGAACTCGTGCCCCCTGCGTTGGGAGCACGGAATGCTAACCACTGGACCACCAGGGAAGTCCCTTTATTTCTAAAAATTGTTCTCAAATATATATAACATAAAATTGGCCATGTAAACCATTTTGAAGCAGATAATTGAGTGGCATTAATTACATTGACAATGTTGTGCTAGTTCCAAAACTTTCCCATCACCCTAAACAGAAGCTCTGTAACCATTGGGCCATAATTCCCTGTTTGTCCCTTTCTGAAATCCCTGGTAACCTCTAATTTACTTTCTGTCTCTGAATTTTTTAAATTGAGGTATAATGATATAAAATGTTCCTATGGATTTGACTGTTCTAGGTCCCTCACGTAAATGGAATCGTATGTTTGTCCTTCTGGGTCTGGCTTATTTCACTTAGCATAATGTTGTCAAAGTTCATCCATGTCACACTTTGCAGAGATCAGACTTCACTCTTTATACGGCTGAATAATATCCCACCGAATGGAAGACCACATTTCACTTGTCCATTTATCTGCTGATAGACACTTGGGTTCATTCCACCTTTTGGCTGCTGATTGTTCTCATTTTCACTACTATTATTTCATGATTGTTTCCCAACCTGCTTGGTCGAGGTGGCCATGGTGCTGGCCCAGCCCCACTCCAGAAATGGATAGATAGGCAGAAATGGATAGATAAAGAACCCACAGAAACTGCAGGAAGTAGGCTCCTTGTGAACCTGCTCCAAGTGAATAGGAATGAGGTCCAGGAAACATCTGTGGGTTTGGGTCTGGCAGGACTGAAAAATGTTTACTGGGCGGCTAGGCAGAGGGACAGGCCCCTCTCAGGATCACTGCGCAGAGCTTGGACCCTCCTCTTGACCTCACCTCCTTACCTCTGCCCTCCTTGTCTGACACCCCCTACCTCTCATTATCCCAGGGTTCAGAAGCTCAAGCAATGGAAAAATTGCTCAGCACCTGACCCAGCCTGGCCCTTCACCCTCATTCTGTGAAGCCTTTCCACTGGCAGTGTGGTTGGAGGACAGTGTGGTCCAAGGGGCAGTGTGATCTGGGGGCCCTTGCTGGGAGGGCGTGCAGAATGGAATATCACCCCTTCCTGAAACAGGCTCTTGGGGAGCTGGGGTGAGGGCCAGGAGCAGGGCCCACCTCAACGTGGGAATCTGTCCCTCTGGGGGGCCAGTCAGGAGTTCAGGCTGCCTTTCTCTGCCTTTGTCCAGAAAACTCTGGACAAAACAGGCCCTCGGTGTTGGTGACTCACCTCCATTTCCGGCCTTAGTCATTCACCATCGCCCCTCCTCCCCGCCCCCCAACTCTGGGCTTGGCATCACAGGGCTGGCCGGGTCAGGGGAGGTGGCTCCAGCTAGAGAGCTTAGTTGCCATGGAAATGAGAAGTCCCCTTTCCCACAGCTGAGAAGGTCGAGAAGGGGTGGGCTCAGCCCCGGTGGCACTGCAGGGCCCCCTGACTGCCCTGCCCCCCACCTTCAGGAAGAGAGAATGCAGAGGTTGTCCAGATATGAAGATAGGGGGCTGAGAGTCTGGTGAGTCTCTTGGCCTGTCACATGCCATGTTCTAGCTCTTTGTCTGGAAGCAGGAGGGTTCCACCTCCCCTTCCTGGCTAGGTGGCACTGAGTGGCCATTGACCCTTCCAGAAGGCCGCAGTCCCCAGGACAATGGGCCTCTCTTCCTTCCTTTATTTTAAAGGGAGACCCCTTCGAGCCATTAGGGTCACACATTGGCCCCAAGGGGGACCATAGCCTCTTCTATTTATTTATTTTTTATATATTTATTCAGCTGCATCAGGTCTTAGTGATGGCATGAGGGAATGTTGTTGCATCATGCTGATCTCTCCTGGCCACACACAGACTCTCTAGTTGCAGCACAAGGGCTTTGAAGTTGCATTTAGCTGCTCCAGAGTGCACATGCTCCACAGCATGTGGGATCTTAGTTCCCCAACCAGGGATCGAACCTGTGTCCCTTGCATTGGCAGATGGATTCTTAACCACTGGACCATGAGGAAAGTCCCACAAGGTAGAACAGATACCCAATGTACCGATACCCAATCCCCAACCTGCACCTGTTGAACGAGAATCTCTGGGTCATGGGTTTTGCAACCTCTCCAGGTGATTCTGACACACAGTCAGGGTTGAGAAACCCTGACTCACCAGGCTGCTGCTCAGAAGTCGGGACAGATGGCTCAGGGCTGGGACTAGAATGCACTTAGTCCCCCAGCTGTCTCTCCATCTGCCTCCCCTTTCAGAAAACACCGACTGCAAGCCTGGCTCTGGGACAAGCCCTGGGGTGAGGACATCCCAGTGCTTCAGTTTATTAAAAATCCACTGAAATTACACTTTAAGTGGGGTGATTCAATTAAAGTAAAAAGTGTCATTGGTGGTCAGGGAAGGGGAACTCCCATTTGAGGATAAATCAGAGAAGGCTTCCTAGAGGAGGTGGTATCTGAGCTGGTCCTTGAAGGACTCTGATATGAAGAAGAGATGGAGAAGGATCCTACAAAGGCTCCCAGAGAGAGGGAGAGGCAGTTGCAGGGATTTAGACTTGATTCCTCAGGTCAGAGTTTGCAATCAGGCAAGCAGGGTCCTTGAGGGATGGGGCACAAAGCCTAAAGCCAAGCCCAGTGCTGAGAGCTTGTTAAAATAAAAGGAGGAAGAGAGGCCCACTGTCCTGTTTCCTTTGGCACACACAGTGGTGTTTTGGGATTTTTACTTCAATTTGATTTAATTGCCAACACTGAAAAATTTGGAGGCATCACATACAAATTCAGATTCCAGTTCTCTGGAATCTCTGGGCCCACATCCACCCCTGGCTGTCCCCATCCTTTCCAAAGGGCGTGGACTCTACAGTTTGACTGGTTCCCACCCATTCTATTGTCCCCTGACTCACAGACTTTTGATTTTGACCCCTGCTGAGACACATCCAAGCAAAGGGAGTGGCCCCACGGAGCAGGCAGCAGCTGGACTGAATTTTGGATTTTGCAGCAGCTACTATTGTGGTCGCCACTTTATGAATGGAGAACTGGAGGCTTAGAGCAGTCACAGGGTAATGCCACCATCGCGCGTAAGTGACAGAAGTGACAGAGCTGGGATTTGACTCCCTGAATCCCGCTCTGCCCTAGGTCCCCAGGCCCAGGGTGGTTGCAGGTAGGGGCAAAGAGGATAGAAGAAAGAGCAGAGGGGTCAGTGTGCTGGCCAAGGGTGAAGATGCTGAAGCCTGACCTCCAGGGTTTAAAGCCTGTTTCCACCACTCCCCAGCCAAGGAATTCTGGCAAGTTCCCGAAGCATCTCTGCACTTGTTTCCCTGTGTGTTAATACATGAGTGCAGTCTGGCATGTAGTAGGTGCCTTATAAGCATTTTGTCATATTTTGTCATATTAAGGAAGAGGGACGCTATGACCGGAGAGCCCGTGGGGTTGTGACAGTGTCTGGACAAGGGGGATACCCAGTGTCACAAGAGATCATGCTTTCTGCTGGACCTCACCAGGGCATCTGGAGGTCAGCCCCAGGCTGGCCAAAGCAGGGCTGGGCCTGGCCTGCTTGGTCTGAGACCCTGGAGCCAGAGTGACCTCCTTGTCCTTGAGAAAGCAGAGGTGAGGAGGTTGGGTTGCAGTAAGAAAGATTTAGGTTGGATAGTGAGACTACCCTCTTGATGATGGTTGGATGGAAGGAGTCTGAGCAAATTCCAGGAGATAGTGAAGGACAGGAAAGCCTGGCATATGCTGCAGTCCATGGGGTTGTAAAGAGTCGGACACGATTGAGCAATCGAACAAAAACAACCCTCTTGATGGTCAGAGTTTTGTCTCAAGGGAAAAGGCCCTTGATGGCAGATTCTAGGCTTGAAGCCTGGAGGGCAGTGGCAGAAAAAGTGACCTTTAACAGGCTGGAGCCCCAGTCAGTGTCTTCCCTGGTGGCTCAGATGGTAAAGCGTCTGCCCGCAATGCGGGTCTGCACGCAATCGACCCGGGTTCGATCCCTGGGTCGGGAAGATCCCTGGAGAAGGAAATGGCAACCCACTCCAGTATCCTTGCCTGGAGAATCCCATGGACGGAGGAGCCTGGTAGGCTACAGTCCACAGGGTTGCACAGAGTTGGACATGACTGAGTGACTTCACTTCTTCTTCACTTCAAGGCCTCCAGGGGAGGCTTGGGAGGAGGGCCAGGCTGTTACTGGCACCCGTTCCAGGGGGATACATCAAACACAGGCCTTGGGGCCAAAAAGCCTAGAGCCAAAGCCAGTTCCGTGACCTGGAGAGGAGGAGCCGCCTGGGAAAGTCCGCCCAGACTTGAGGCTGGAGGATGCTTCTCCCTGCTGTGGAGTGGGTTGAAGGAGAACGTGAGGGCGGGGCCGGAGGCCGGGGTGCCCATGGTCTCCCATCCCCGCAGGCCTGTCGGAGGATGAGGACGTACGGGCCATGCTGCGGGGCTCCCGTCTCTGCAAGATCCGCTCTCGGACCTGGCAGAAGGAGCGGCTGTACCGGCTGCAGGAGGACGGCATGAGCGTGTGGTTCCAGCGGCGCATCCCGCGTGCGCCTTCGCAGCACATCTGTGAGTGGGACCGGGGAGGGCATGGGCGGGCTGGGGACACTGGCGGCCTGGCCTCGTCGCCCTGACCCGGCCGCGCGCGGCCCGTTCCTCTCCACAGTCTTCGTCCAGCACATCGAGGCCATCCGCGAGGGCCACCAGTCCGAGGGCCTGCGGCACTTCGGGGGCGCCTTCGAGCCGGCACGCTGCCTCACCATCGCCTTCAAGGGGCACCGCAAGAACTTGGACCTGGTGGCGCCCACGGCCGAGGAGGCTCAGCGCTGGGTGCGTGGTCTGGCCAAGCTGCGCGCGCGCCTCGAAGCCATGAGCCAACGCGAGCGCCTTGACCAATATCCTCCCGGGGAGTGTGGCAGGCTGGCATGGAGGGGGGCCAGCCCCATGCCGGGAGGACTCCCAGCCCCAGGGGAGGCGTGGCTCCACTCTTAGGGGCCTTTAGATTTGAGACCGAGCCCTTGTCTTCAGAACTGAGGGTGGCGACCAGGCGTCCTCTGGGGAGCCCGGGTCCCACAAAGGATGCGCTCCTTCGGTGCTCAGGCAGTTCACAGGCTGAGGGGAACTCACAGTTCCCGAACTGGGAGCCCCCAGGCGGGAGGGGGTGAGTGTGCATGTAGTCGGGGGAGATTGCTATCTGTCAGTTACCTGTCAGCTGGGGGCGGGGCCCAGCCTCTTGCCGGTATTTCCTGAGCACCCACACCTGGATCCACTCCTATCTGCACCGGGCAGACTCCAACCAGGACAGTCAGATGAGCTTCAAGGAAATCAAGAACCTGCTCCGCATGGTCAATGTGGACATGAACGACATGTACGCCTACCGCCTCTTCAAGGTGGGCACCTGCTACCACTCTGATCTCTGCCCCCCCCAGCCGTGGGAGTCCTCAGTTCCCCCGCCCCACCCCCACCCCAGGCTTTTGTGGAGAGTGGCCTCTTCCTGCAGAAAGGCTGCATCTGGGCCTTACCCTACCCTTTCACCCAGGGAAGCCTCTGAGCCAGGTTGGGAGCCTGGGCCCAGAGCCCCTTCCTCACCCTCAGGCAGAGCCCAGGTAGGGAGGACCCGGGGCTCATGGGCACACCCGTGAGCGCACCCCCTCCATTGTGGCGTGTGTGGCACCTCCACACGTGACCGTGTACACCCTACGTGTGGGAGGGGCCCACAGGGGTGGGCTCTGCATCCATGGCCCAGTTGGAGCACGCGGACTGTGTGACCCTGGAGGACGGGAGGGCCACGGCCGCTATGCTCCTGGACGGACAGCGCCGCGGGGACTGCACCACGTGCCGTCTCAGCTGTGCGTTGCTTGTTGACCTTGGGGCGAACGTGTGAGAACAGTACCGCATACACACCAGAGCGGGGCCTCCGGCACAGAGGCTCAGCCCTGCCTGAAGCTCACAGTTTTTCCTCCCCCATCTTGATTCTTGGGGTAGGCAGAGGGATAAGCCCTGAACCCAAGAGACCATCTTTAGAACCCCAGCCCTGCGATTTAACAGCTGCGTGAGTCTGAGTGAGACCTGTGGCCTCGCCAGCTCTCAGTTTTTCCACCTGTGAAATGGGAGACGTCACCTCCCTTCCCAGCCATGGTGGATGACGGGGGTGTGTACAGAGCATGGGTGTGAGAGCACCCGCCTCTCCCAGGGCGTCGTCCTCCCCTGAGCCTCTCCCTCCTGCCTTCTAGGAGTGTGACCACTCCAAAAATGAGCGGCTGGAAGGGCCCGAGATCGAGGAGTTTCTGCGGCGGCTGCTGAAACGCCCTGAGTTGGAGGAGATCTTCCATCGGTACTCGGGAGAGGACCGCGTGCTGAGCGCCCCTGAGCTGCTGGAGTTCCTGGAAGACCAGGGCGAGCGTGAGGCCACGCTGGCCCACGCCCAGCAGCTCATCCACACTTATGAGCTCAACGAGACAGGTGAAGAAGGCTCTGACAGATGGGGTTGGGGCCAACGCGGGGCTTGGCGTCTGACAGGTCTAGCTTCCCAGCTAAGTGGGCTCTGCTGTTCCTGACTGTGGGTGCCATCTTGGGCAGCTCACCTCACCTCTTTGAGACTCAGCCACCATCTCTGTAAATTGGCATAGTAATGTATCTTCCTCACAGAGTTGGGTTGAAATTAAATGGCATAACTCGGGAGTCCCCGAGTCTAGTGGTGGTCTAGTGGTTAAGATTCTGGGGTTTCACTGCTGTGGGGCCCAGGTTCAATCCCTGGTCAGGAAACTGAGATCCCAGAAGCTGTGTGGCATAGCCAGAAAAAAAAAAAAGGCATAACTTATGTAGAGTCCAGTCAGTAGACAAGTGCTCATTATTACTAAGTTGAGTGAGCTTTGAGATTCTGGGGGCCAGACACAGGGGTCCCTGCATAGCCTTATGCTCTCTTCTGCCCATTTTCTGCAGCCAAGCAGCATGAGCTGATGACACTGGATGGCTTCATGATGTACCTGTTGTCCCCCGAGGGGGCTGCCCTGGACCCAGCCCACACACGCGTGTTCCAGGACATGGACCAGCCCCTGGCCCACTACTTCGTCTCCTCCTCCCACAACACCTATCTGACTGACTCTCAGATCGGGGGACCCAGCAGCACTGAGGCCTACGTCAGGTACCACGATGCGGGGGTGGCGGAGGTGAGCAGGTCTGGGAGCCGGTTTAGGGGTGGTAAGGGGCTCAGCTCCCACCGTGGGCTTCCTGGGGCCTACCTGGAGGCCTGTCCGTTGCCCTGCTCTGTGCCACCCACAAGATACTTTGTCCATCCACCTGTCCGCAGGGCCTTTGCCCAGGGATGCCGCTGTGTGGAGCTGGACTGCTGGGAGGGGCCAGGAGGTGAGCCGGTCATCTATCACGGCCACACCCTCACCTCCAAGATCCTCTTCCGAGATGTGATCCAGGCAGTGCGAGAGCACGCCTTCACGGTGAGCCCCGGGACCCCCACACTCAGCCCCAGAGCCTTGCCGGCAACCCCAGCTGATCTCGGTCCTTCCAAAAGAATCCCCTGGGACTTCCCTGGTGGTCCAGTGGTTAGGACTCCAGGCTTCCACTTCAAGGGGCATGAGTTCAATTCCTGGCCGGGGAGCTAAGATACTGCATGCTGTGCAGTGTGGCCAAGACAAAAAACAAAAGAAACCCCTTCCCAGAGACTCAATTTCACCAAGAGCTGCTGGGACAGCTAGCCAGCGGGGTGGAATAAAGCTGGACGAGAGGCTCCCTTCTCCTACCCTTACGTTTAGTAATTGTATGAAAATCATAAAATTTCCAGAAGGAAACCGTGTGGGTAGGGAAGGACATTTTAATCGTGACTCACAAAGAGGAAATCATAAAAGAGAAGCTCAGCGTTGCACCTGCATAAAATTGCCACATGTGTCAAGCTATAGGAATCTTTCCATCAACAAATAATGGGCTGGGACGAAAAGTGTGCAACCTAAATGGCATGGTCAGTGTCGTTAACATATAAATAACATTTATTAAAAAAAAACATTCCTGCAGCCACTCTCAACTCTCCAGACAGTCCACCCCCCTCCCCGTGGCCCCAGATCTGACCTCTGCCCCTCCATGGACACACTGACCCCAGTGTGTCCCACATCCACCCTCTCAGTCTCCCCTAGAGTGGGTTCTCCAGACATCTGCCTGCCTGTCCTGAACGGGGTGGGGGGCTGGGTGTAGCAGGGATCCTGGCGGGGAAGGGCGAGTGTCTCTGAGCTGCTGCCCCTCCCCCTCACAGGTGTCCCCGTACCCTGTCATCCTATCCCTTGAGAACCACTGCGGGCTGGAGCAGCAGGCTGCCATGGCCCGCCACCTGCACACCATCCTGGGGGACATGCTGGTGACGCAGACACTGGACTCCCAGAATCCTGAGGAGCTGCCGTCCCCAGAGGTAAGGCTCTCAGACCCCCAGCCTGGGTGGGGGGAGGGTCTGGCCCCAAGGTTGACCATCCAGCTTTGTTCAGGACCCTTCTCCTCTGTCTTAAACTTCTGGGTTTTTTTTTTGGCCGCCTTTTGTGGCACATGGGTTCTTAGTTCCCAGACCAGGGATCGAACCCACGGCCCTTGTAGTGGAAGTGCGGAGTCTTAACCACTGGACTGACAGGAAAGTCCTCTCTGCCCTAACCTTCTCCTGTGTCACCGTTCATCTGACATCTGCCACCCTGTGGTCTTGTCACTTGTCTCCCTTCCATTTTGACTAGATGCCTCCCACCCTTGCCCCTGGCATGCAAGGCCCTCCACGACCTGGCCTGACCTCCCCACCCTGCCTCCTGCCCACAGGGTCCCCGCAGGCTTGGCCGTCCCCTTGTCTAACACTGCCTTCTCCACCTGGAGCTCCCGTCCCAGCCACCTGGGCTCACCAAGCGCCACCTGCTTAGACTCTAGCTCAGTAAAGGGCCTCTTCCTGTGGGCTTAGCAACTTCCTCAGCGCTCTGGCCACAAGTGGTCCATCTTCCTCTCTCCCACACCCCAGAGCATTTTATCTGCCTCTTCAGGACATTTATCCTTTTGGGGTTCTTGGAGAAAACTCTCCTCCTACTCCCAATCCCAAATTACACAGGGAATCTGGGTTCACCTTTGTGTGTAATTTGACTTTTTTTATTAGTATGAAAAAAACATACATGTGGTAAAAGAAAAAATAGAGCACACACCATGAAAAATGGACTTTCTTCCACTCCTGCTCCCTTGTCCTATTTCTGAAGAAGTGATCACCTTCAATGGTGTATATTCTTCCAGAACTTTCCATGCGTCTGTATACCTATATACCTGTGCATAGTGATCTCTTTTAAGTGATAGACAAAGAAGATCATGTGAGCACATGTGCTATCCGCACTTCTTTCATGTGAGATCTTTTTTGAAGAGAAACGCCTTCTCTTTCAACCCTGAGCTGCCTCATTCATTTTATTGGCTGCCTTGCAGTATTCAGAGGCTTGGAGGCATCTCATTAGCCAGTTCCCTGTGGATAGTCCCATAGGCTGTTTCCCTCATAGGTTTTTTCCTGTTAGAAACATCACTCATGTGTCTCTTTTCCTGCTCACCACCCCAAGCCAGCCCCTCACACAGTGGTGTCTGAATGATAGACTGACACATAGAATGATATACGGGCAGGAGAACTTCATTCTTCCATGTTGGATCTACAGAGGCTGAAAGGCCGGATCCTGGTGAAGGGGAAGAAGAGTGAGGACAGTCGAATCCTATCAGACCGGGAGGAGGAGGATGAAGAGGAAGATGAAGAGGAGGGAGCGGGGGCCATAGAGCAGAGGCGGCGGGTGAGTGGGCCCGCCTGGGTGGGCCAGTGCAGGCTGGGCAGGCCCTGTGGGGCTTGGGGACAGGTGGCCGCGAGAAGGGAGGTGGGAGGACCAGGGGCTGGAGCTGGTGGGTGGGGGCAGAGCCCCGCTGAGGCGTGTCTCCCAGGCCAAGCAGATCTCCCCGGAGCTGTCGGCGCTGGCCGTGTACTGCTGTGCCACGCGCCTGCGGACCCTGCGCCCCGCCCCGGTTCCACCCCAGCCCTGCCACGTCAGCTCCCTCAGCGAGCGCCAGGCCAAGAAGCTCAGCCGAGAGGCAGGTGGGAGCCAGGATGCGGGGCATCTGAGGCAGGAGGGAGGTGGGGACCAGCAGTCCAGGTCCCCGGAGACTCCGGGTGGGTGGGAGATGCTGATGTTGATCTGGAAAGGAGAGTGACAGGGCTTTGGGGGCAGTGAAGAGAGGGGCTTAGGGAATGAGTGTCCAGCACCGGGCTAGCTGTACATGCAGGAAGACGGCACTGGGGCGAGGGAGACTGATGTCCGCCTTCACGGACTCACAGCTTAGTCCGGGGCCAGACACAGATGGATAACTGCGGTGCGGGGTGATCCACTGGGTCTGACAGAGGCTGGGGGAGTCCTGTAGCGGGTGGAGGAAGCAGCCAGATGAAGAGGGGGAGGGGACTTCCAGACAGGAGAAGCAGGTTGTCCCGAGGCCTGGAGGTATGACTTACACGGAAGGGTTCCTGGAACCCAAGGTGGGGCTGGAGGAGTGTTTGTGGATTGAACAATGAAAGACGGATTGCAGCCTGGGGCCAGGGGCTCCACCCACGGAGTCGGAAATGTGGGGATTCCGGGTGGGATGCAGTGCCAGGCTGCGGGAGGGGGTCCCTGCACCTCTCTGGACTTCAGCAGCCTCATGAGGACCCCCTGCCCTCTCATCAGAGAGAATGAGGAAAGGGGTCAGCGGGAGCTGGCAATGGGAGTTCTGCCTGTTCCCAGATGGTCTCTGGAGGTGGTGGGGGGCGGGCAAGGTGGCTGACAGGCTCTGGCACCCAGTGAGCGAGTGATACCCCAGGGGCCACCACAGTCCCACCCCACCTCTCCCCCAGGGAACAGCTTCGTCAGGCACAATGTCCGCCATCTGACCCGTGTCTACCCGCTGGGGCTGCGGATGAACTCGGCCAACTACAGCCCCCAGGAGATGTGGAACTCGGGCTGTCAGCTGGGTGAGTGGTGGCAGCAGAAGAGGGGGTGGGGGGCCACTTTGTGGGGGTGCAGCTCTGGGAGCCATGGAGTTCCCAGCAGTGATGGGGCCACGGGGCTTTCCAGAAGTCGGAAACATGAGTCTCATAGATAGCGATTATTAAAAGGCTTGTCAACAGGGTAGGTGGGGAAACACAAATCAGGGTCGTTGGTTCTTGCCAGTGTAAAATCTCAATTTTCTTTATGAAGGTAGAAATTAAAAGGGCTTCCCAGGTGGCTTAGTGGTAAAGGAGCCGCCTGCCCATGCAGAGACACAAGAGACAATGCAGGTTCCATCCCTGGGTCCGGAAGAGCCCCCCAGAAAAGGAAATGGCAACCCATTCCAGTCTGCTTGCCTGGAGAATCCCATGGACACAGGAACCTGGAAGGCTGCCATCCATAGGGTCGTGAAGAGTTGGACACAGCTGAGGACAGAAAAACACTTCCACTCCCTTGTGCCCTTAATATAAACACACACACACACACACACAGAAGCAGTCCCTACTAAGCCCACACTGACGAGAGTGGGCTCTGAAGGACAATGAGCATCGCCAAAGGAGAGGAGGGTGCCCCCTGGGGAAGCCAGGGAAACCTCTCTCTGGCCTTGAGGGATTCCAGCCATGAAGTACAGGTGATAGTGGGGCTGGGTCCCTGGCTGCCATGATGCCCCCAAGCCATGGTGGGGTGGTACTCCCACCCAGGCAGGGGGGACCCTCTCTGGAGAGAACCAAGTCCTCTCCTTACAAAGTCTGTCTGCCGGGAGAGCAATGAGCCCCTGAGACTGAGCAGTGATGAGAGGGCCACTAAGAGGCCCTGCCCACCCCTGCTATGTCCACAGTGGCCCTGAACTTCCAGACACCGGGTTACGAGATGGACCTCAATGCCGGGCGCTTCCTCGTCAACGGGCAGTGCGGCTACGTCCTGAAACCCGCCTGTCTGCGGCAGCCCAACACAACCTTTGACCCTGAGTGTCCTGGGCCCCCCAGAACGACTCTCACCGTCCAGGTCAGAGGCCTGGGCCGTGCCCTGCCCGGCGTCCCCTCTGCGGGGGTGGCACCAGCCCGAGGACAACGAAGGCCTGGGGAAGGCCCAGGAGGGTGGTGTGAGCACCTCTGGCCAGGCTGCAGCCCCCACCCCCTTCTTCCCACACAGGTGCTGACGGCGCAGCAGCTGCCCAAGCTGAATGCCGAGAAGCCCAATTCCATTGTGGACCCCCTGGTGCGCATTGAGATCCACGGGGTGCCCGCGGACTGTGCTCGCAAGGAGACCAACTATGTGCTCAACAACGGTGCGTGGGGACTCTGCTGGGGTCGGGGGAGTAAGGGGCGGACCGCAGAGAGCGGAGGAAGGTGCTGGGCGGGGCTGGCCCTGCGGGCTCTTGACTGCCAGGCCTGCGCCCTAGGCTTCAACCCCCGCTGGGGGCAGACCCTGCAGTTCCAGTTGCGGGTTCCAGAGCTGGCGTTGGTCCGGTTCGTGGTAGAGGATTATGATGTCACCTCCCCCAATGACTTCGTGGGCCAGTTCACGCTGCCTCTCAGCAGTCTGAAGCAAGGTTGGTGGGGGTGGAAAGGGATGGGGTGTCCAGGCCTCCAAGACCCTGTTCATTGGGGCTGCCCATTTCCTCCGAGAGCCTGCCCTGAGCCAGGCCACCCCGGGGGTGGGCTGCGGTCTGCACCCTACACGCCTGGCCATGTGGGGCCGTGGACAGAGAAGCTGACGTGGGGCTCCCCTCTCTGCAGGGTACCGCCACATCCACCTGCTTTCCAAGGACGGGGCCTCACTGTCACCGGCCACTCTCTTTGTCCACATCTGCATCCGGGGCTCCTGACGGCGCGGCTGAGCCACCCTGGGTTCTGCAGGTGCCAGTCTGCGTCCCACGCCCTCCGGAGTGGACAGGGTGATGGAGGACCATCCCCTCCAGCCTCCTGCTGAGCCTGCCAGGCTCTGGTCGCAACTGGGTGCTGGGGACTGCCTGCACCCCTCTTGAAGAACGGGCAGTTGCTCCTTGCTCCGGGCTGTGAGATGGCCTCAGCCCACCTGGTCGTCGTCGCTTATGAAGAGCCAGGCCTGGTGCTGCCAGGAGACTTAGGGAGCGGGACTCGTGAGCCCTCGACCACTCTCTGCCCCCCAGTGGGGCCATCGCAGCCTCCTTCCCACGAGGAATCCAGCCAACCCCCGTCCCCTCCCTCGGCATTAGCCGCCCGCTAAGGCCCTCCTTCTCTCTCCAGCTCTTGAACCTGAGCTCCCTTCCCCTGTTAAAGCCAGGAGGGAGAGGGAGGCTCAGCTCTGGGGAGACCTAGGAGTTGGTTTCTAACTTGTGTCTTAGAAGAGCCTTGGAGAGGTCAGTAGAACAAAATAAAGAAGCAAGTTTATTTTATCACTGCCACCCACTGAGTACCACTGAGGCCACATCCACAGGCCTCGGGGAGGGCTGGGGCAGAGGGAGTGTCCCTTGGGCCTCTTCCCACATCTGGGCCATTTGTCTAAGATGGACAGGGCACTGGAGGGGCTGCCACAGCTCAAAATAGCCCTGACCTCTCTTGGCTCAGAGCTGCTGCCAGCATCACAAGACTGTGAGGACAACAGTTCACAAGGCCACCCCCCGAGAAACACACCGGGGATCTGGAATGGTGAGGGGGAGGGCGAGGAGGGCTTCTGCTAGGGCGCAAGTGTGGTAGCCCTAAAGAGGGTGGGGACAGGACTCTGAGGGACTTCAGAGTACCCCCTTTCCAGGCTCAGCTGGGTTCGAGGCCCCTGTCTCTTCAGTAGACGAATCCCAGAGACCTGGGACTCTCCTTCCACCAGCCGAGCAGCCTTTTTTAGACAAAGGCCTGAGAAGCAGGGGGCTGCTCAGGCGCCCCTAGAGATGCTGGGAGAGCGTGCCCACACCACAGATGACAGAATCTGGAGGAAATCCATCACAAAGTGAATTTCTGGTATGAAGCGTGGAGCCCTGACGTCTGGGGTTCCTTGAAGCAGCAGGACCAACAATGAACAAGCACAGAGCTTGGTGCCCATTTCCCGGAGGGCGGCCTGGGGCTGGGTTGAGCTGGAAGCTGCTCCGCAGAACCCAGGGCTGGGCCGTCTCCACCTTCCTGCCATCCCAGGACCTGATGCAGAGTGTGATGGCCTCATCCTACTCTGTTTACACTGAGGAGGGCCTTTGGTTCTGATGAATCTGTGCATCTGAAAGAAGACAACTAGACCCTGTAGGGGCCCAGAGGCCCCCCTCCCCCCCGCCATCCAGGAACCATGAAGGAATGGGCCAGTAGCCTGGGTGCACAGCCTTGGGGCTGTCAGAAGAGCCAGGTGGCCAAACTGCAGCCCCACGGTGGGGCAGGGCGAGACCCCAGGTCCAGTGTGAGGCTGTCAAGAGCAACTAATAAAGGTGTCCTGCCCCCACAGGGCCAGGTCTGGTTGGGATCTGGGCTGGGGTTCCTGTGTTAGGTGAACCCTGGCCACCAGACTGAGTCCCCCATCCTGCCTCTCATCTCTGGTTTGATGCAGCAAGAGGAAGGGTTTATGGCTAGTAGAGCCCCAAAGCTGGGAAGTCTTTAAGGCAACAAAGTTGACATGAACTGATTATGGGAGGTGAAGGCAAAGAAGAAACACAGCTGGTAATTCTGAAGATTGCTGGGTGGACAGCACCCGCAGGGCTGTTTTTTTACCCCAGCCCTGAAGGCGTGGAGTGGGCTGGTCCTGGCTGGGGGAGAGACATAAACTGTGGGTCTGGGAGGGTCAGGGAAAGGCTTCAGGGATGATCCCAGAGGCAGGACCTCTCAGGTTGCTGCTCAGGGCCCAGGTTCCCTGGAAAGGGGCTTGGAGGCACCAGCCATGGGCGGAGGGAATGAATGAAAAGGTCCACAGAAAGAGAACAGGGGTCGGGGCGGGGAGGAGTTTAGACATGGCTCCTCAGGCCCTTCCTGGGAAATTTTCTGGGTTCAGTGGGACCTGACAGCTTGCAGTGTTAAGCACCCCTGGAGGGGACTTCCGTGGGGGTCCAGTGGTTAGGACTCTGCGTTTCCAATGCAGGGGGTTCGGGTTAGATCCCTAGTCTGGGAACTAAGATCCCACATGCTGTGTGTCAGGAAAATAATAATTAAAACACCCCAGGTGGCTCAAAAGAACCACCTGGCTCCTGCCCCGCAAAGGGAGGTGTGACATCTGGACAGTGGGAGGGGTGGTGCCCATGCCTTCTGTCAGAGGAGCCACGCTGACCTGGACCGAGGGGCTGGCTCTGCCAAGGCCCTGAGTGCTGGCCCAGAGCCTAGCTGCTCCTCGTACACAGAGTAAACCCGAGTCAGTACCGGCTCCTTGCTGGCAGGTGGGAGAGGTTAGGGGAAAAAGAGCCAAGCTGGCCCTCAAAGGGTAGTCTCAAAGGAAAGTATTCAGAAGCGTCTCTGGTCACAAGGGCCTTCATTGCAGGGCGAGAGGGCTCTGGCCCAGACTGGGGACTCTGGGGTTCCACTGCCACCTGCTGACCAGAGGAATACCAAGAGGGCAGGAGGGTGTGTTCAGCTGCTTCCTTTATTAGAGACAAGTGAGATGTACCAAGCAGAACAACAATGCATTTGGTATTTCTTCCCCCACCCCGGAAATGGATGCCCCTCCCACAGCCCGGAGCAAAGCCAACACAAAGGTGAAGCCTCCCCTTTCCCGGTTCCCTGTTCCTGGATGCGGGTGCCCGGCTGGCGGTCAATCAGTATTTCTGAACTGAAATCTTCCCCCACAGCCTCCCTAGGAACAGTCTGTTTGCAGGCCTGCCTTCCCCTGACAGTAATAACCCGAAGCCCTGGGTCTCCTCTGGTTCCAGGGCTGATGGCCAGGCCTGAAGAAGGCAGCCCGGGGTGGAAAGGCCCTGGCCAGAGATACGCCCCGCCCCATCCCCTGACCCAGCAGCCACCCTCTCCCAGGCTGAAGCTGTGAAGCTATCCAGGCCTTTGGGCCATCCCTTCAGTTGGTTAAATGCTGGTCATCTTTGGGCAAAGAATTCAAGAGCACTGGGACACCCACCCTGGGCTTCAAGTGAGCCAGCAAGTGGGTGACAGCAGTTAGAATGGAGTTGCAGGCAAGGCCTGAAATTTTCCATAAACCTAGGTGTTGCAGTGGCTTGATGTGGGCCGGCCTTCAAACAAGACAGCAGAATCTTCGGAAGTAGGCGTGCGTGGGGGACACGAGCACTGTGCAGATCCAGAGCTGAGGCCTCCTTTCTCCCCAGCTCTCTCCATATGGAGACAGGAGGCTGTGCTGCGGGGTCATTCCAAAGGTCGGAGGTAAACATCAGGAACACAGAGTCTGAAAGCCCAGCACTGGAGGCAGAGGGCGAGGCCACACCCCCGAGGCCCACTATGAGTGGCGGCCCGAGGCAAGTCCCAGCTGATGAGCTTGGAGGCCTTGGGGTCTTCCCTTTGTTTGGTTTAAGCCAGTCACAGCTCCACCATCCTCCAAGGCCCCAAACCCCAAGCAACGGTTCTCTCTGAGCTCTCTGACCAGAAGTCCTGGAATGGGTCAAGTGAAGAACCCAGGGAGTGCTTGGGCAAAAAGGAGACTAAGAGCAGCCACGGAGCCGACTCCTGCAGACCTGTGGGTGGTGCTGAAGGCGGGCAGGGTCCCTACAGAGGGCACAGCAGAGTCCAAGGAGAGATTGCAGGGCTTCGAAGGGAGACACTGGGACCTCCCCAGGCGATCGGTTTCTTCCAGAGCGGGCACGGGCCTCACAGTTTCCATCCCATGACTTCAGTCACCAAGGCAAAGCTCACTCCTGGGGCCGTCAGGCACCCCAAATTTCAGAGGCAGCTCAGGCCGGGACCTGGCCCAGAGCTAAGCAAGCCTGTGACAGGGAGCCTGTCCAAGTTCCAGTCCTGCCTGAAGTGGAAGAGTTGGGAACTTTGTTCTCTGACATCTTTAGAAGCACGCACAGGGTGGGCTGCTCTGGGCTGTGGGATGCCATGTGTCTGATGTCTGTGAGGCTGTGTGGGCAAGCCCCTGCCTCTCCGACTCCTGCTGTCTGTGGAATGCAGTGCACATCTTGCTGAGAACAGCAGCTTCTTTGGTCTGGGTATCTTGGAGTCAAAGGTCAGCCACGATGGGGGCCTACAGTTTGCAGCACACGGACAACGGGGAAAAAGGAGGCCCCCTAGAGGCCTCTGATGAAAGTGTGATCAGTGGAGCTGGGGGCTCCGTCTGCAGAAAGCCTGGCCAGCAGCCCTGCTTGGGCAGGGGCAGCATGGCCCCATCCCAACTAAGCACGCGATCCCCTCCAGCTCTGGGCACTCTGCAGAATCAGTCTCTGGCAAACCTCACCAGAGCCCACAGCCTGTAACATAGCCCTCCTGGCCCGCAGAACACGGTTTCAGCTCCCACAGCTGGGCTGAGCCTGGCCTGCTGGCTAAGGCTTCCTTCCCTCTACAAGTAGAGGTAAAAGCAGCCAGGAAACCCCCCACCCTGCACGTCACACCGTCCACCCATTGACCTTCTCCTAGAGCAAAAGTTACACACAAGTCTGGATGTGAGTTGCTGCTGCTGACAATTCATAGCCCAACCCTCCCCAAACCACTTGGCTGAGCGCAACGGAGGAATGTCTACGTGACAGTCACATGACTGGAGCCTCCATTATTTGGAGGGCCACGGGCAGCATCAGTCACCATCATCACTGCAAAAATCCACAACACATCATCAGTGGAAATCAGACTCCGACAATGGCAACAGGAAATCGTGTCTGTTGCCAAATGCAGACTGGCATCTCACCACCACTCCCTGCCATGACCTGCAGGCTGTGTGTCTTGGAAAGGAGCAGAGATGGCTAATGGGCTGGAAGGCACCAGCCCAGGGCTGGAGGCTGAGGTCTGGGTATCAGCCCCACGCCATCCTTGCCCAACCAATCCTGGGGGCATCAGGATCCTGGTTCTTTGTTCTACGATGAGCTAGGCAGGGCCTGCACTGACATAGTCTCCACAAGGTCCCAGATGCTATACAAGGAGGTCAAAGGTCCCCTTCATACTGCCAGTCACCCCAGGCAGTGGAAAAACAATCTCACAGGACTTATCCCTGTCATATAAGATTGGCAACAGTTGGCTAGAGAGCCTGGATGTAAAAGTCAGTTGTTGGCAGGATGACTTCCTACAGGGAGCAGGCCAAGAGGACGAGAAGAGGGAACTGGATTCATGAAACGCGCTTTCACGGGTCACCCCTGCTGCGCAGGTTCAGGACGCAGAAAGGGTGCGGTCCCTGCAGGAGCACCTCGGAGTTGGGTCTGCCCCAGCCAGGATTCCACCTTCTCTTCCCAGAGTGCCAAGCCCTCCCCAAAGCCCTGCAGAGCCCCTCCACCCGCGCTGCCATCACCAAGCCAATCAACCCAGCTGATTCAGAAGGGGGACTGGGTAAGCCTCCCACATCCTCTTTCTCCTGCTCCCCTGAGAAAAGTCCATGCCTGCTTTCAGAAGGAAACAATTCAATTGTACCGATATGTGTTTGTCGGGCACTGGCCTTAAGAGTCGAATTTTGAGGAATGATCTAGATTCAGTTTTTCATTGGAGACCAAACATCCTTGTACATTTGGAACATGAAAGATATTTAAAATATTTATATATATATATATAATATATATATATACTTTTATTATTCACCCGTTAACTCCATAATATGCCAATCACGAGCTAGTTTTCAGCAGTTACATTCCCTTGATCGCGGCTGCATAACGATGCGATTAATTGGAAAACAGGGAGACCAGACACGGCCAGAGATGACATCTCGCAGCCTACGCCATTGCAATGCAATCATCAAGTTCAGTGGCGGTCTGTAAAGCCGGTTCAGTTCCTCTCCCCTTGCCAGGGATTCTCACGTTTGTGAAAATTGGACCAACAAGTGGTGGGGCTCCATTTCCTGGTAATTCTCAGTGGCTTTATCCAGAATCTCACTGGCAGTTGGTTACTGTAACACCAGCCCAACCTAGGAGAGCCAAGGGGGAGAGGCAGGGTTGAGGGAACGGCTGTCTGGACTCCCCCACTCCCCATCCAGTCCTGAAGGTCCAGTGACAGAGTCCGCAGAGCACCGCTGTGTGGACTGAGCAGACTCCGGTGAGCCCTGGACTCACTCGACCTCTACCTGATGCTTCAGACATCAGAGCCTTTACCTGCAGCACCCTGAGGAATACTGGGTGGGCACCAGGCCACACTCCAGTTCATCCCTCAGGTACCCTCTAAGTGTCGGATTCCCCTGGCCCTGAGCTGCCCCCTGGAGCTGGTGGAGGAAGGGCCATGCTGGGGCAAGGGCGGCAGCCCCTCGAGTCAGACTCTCCCTTCCTGGCAGACCATGGGCATGTGACTGGCCAGTGTCCTGGGACAGTCCCAAAGCCCTGTCCCACTGGATGAGGCTGCTCACCAGCTGGGAGGAGAGGCTGGAAACAACCGTCCCACTTCTGTGTGCCTCAAGGGCCTGTGCCCTCTGCCACCCTCACGCCTGCTGCTGAAAGGGGAACACTGCCCCTGCTCACGGGGCCACCAGAGGGAGGGGACTCTTCCAGGGCCCAGACTGAGGCTGGGTCCCAGACCTGAGGCCCTGCTTCTATTACAGATGCCAACACCTGACCCAGGCCAGCCCCCTGTGGGCCCAGCTGCCAGGGAGCGCGGTGGGGGCGCTCCCAGAACGTACATACCTTCTCCGCCCCCATGCTGGGGCACTTCCAATTGTACAGGTAATACTGTAGGTTGCCATCCCCAATGCCGAACTTGAGCTTCTCCAGGAAGGTTTTGTTCTCCATGAGATCCAGTGCATTGAACACGTCAAACCCTTTCTGCGGGGCAGCAGGGAGAAACAAGGAGAGGTGAGGACGGGTGGACACTGCCTCACCTTCCTGACCGCTTTCTTCTGTCCTATCAGAACTGCCCCGCGGGCAGGCGGCCAGGGCAGCAATCCGCCTTCAGAAGCGCCTGCTGCTTCTGTGACACCCAGACTCCAGGCAGTGCCCTGCTCTCTGGTGGCAGGTCTCAGGACACACCAGTGTCACCCTCCCTGGCCTCTCCGCAGCGTCCCCCAGAGGACACATGTGTGCACCCGGTGTCCAGGCTGCCGCTCCCACTGCTTCTAGCTACGCTTCCCTGACACATGCTTGTAACTTCCACAGTCCTCGCTGGAAACCAAGCCCCGAACCTTTTCCTGAGAGAAGGTGACTCCCACAAGCCTCACTGCTCCCTTACCGCCTGACGCCCCAAGTCCCAGGCCTTGGTGCACCGAGGGACTTTATGACATGTGACATGCTTCTCTGAGGCTGTGACAGACCCGATCAGGGACTGGATGGTCACTGGCGGCCGGCACACAGTGGGCCAGGCCAAGCGCAGGTAGACCCCATGGGGCAGGGCTGCCGGGTAACTTCTCAGGTGAAAGAGAAACCTGGGCCCCTCCCCGCCATGCTCTCCAGCCAGCGGCTCTGGTGACTCACCACAACAGACACCACCAATCTCCCTCCCCATTCCCAGGCTGGGGAGGTTGTAAGGAGAACCCCTCATCTCCCCGTGCAGGCCTGGCAATTCATGCTCCTTGGCAGCACCTCCCGTGAGAATAAAACTCATTGAAATAAATCAGGAGTTCAACGCCTTCACCTGGTGTGGACACTCCTTGCTCCCTCCTAGTTTTTGAGCTGCTGGCTGGAAACTGCTGGGCTGCTCCCAGAGTGAAGCAGGAGGGCAAGGAGGCCTTGAAGCTCCCCGCCCAGAAGCAGCTACTGCAAGCCGTGCTCAGCACCGCCCCACCCCTCTGGTTGGCTCCTCACCATTTTGGCGAGAACGAGGGCGTCGCTCATGAGGTCTAGAAGAGGGGTCTGAGTGTGAACATTGTAGAAAGAGTAAGCAGCCTTCAGACTCTTATGGGTCGGGTGGTTCATGATGGTGGACGGAAGTGTATAAAAGCTCAGGAAATCGGTCACCTCCCCGTTTGCATTCTGATGGGAAGACAATGAAGAAGGCAGGGTCACACCGGCACAGGGACCGTGCAGCCTGGGAACACAGTGTTCCCGTTGCCCTCCGCCACCCTCGGGCAGCTCTGCCCCTCCAGATGAATGGGTGGAAACTGAAATAGGATATGCAGAGAGAAAGCACATCAAGAGGGAACCTGAGGACAGAGCTGGGAGGAAAACTCAGGCTGGGCCGAGGGCTGACTCTGCCGCACTCCTTCCCCGTCTGCAGCTCCAGGGCCTGCTCACAGCTCTTGACCCCTCCAACGTCCACAGCTCCAGACCAAGCAGGGCTCAGCTCTCTCTGCTCAGGGTCACCAGCGGGGAAGGAGAGATGAAGGGCTCACGCCAGGTCCAGAAGAGCTCTTTTTAGCAAATGCAAGCTACAACTTCCTGCCTTTAGTGTAGACCAAGCACAGGTGGTCCGGGAAGTCTAGGGTGCCAACTCTCCGGTCAACTGCTCTTCGGTTGCTGAGCCTGGGGGTACCCGTCACTGAGGGAGAACGCCTCCCTGTCCACGGGGCAAAGGCCCAGAACACGCGTCCCCACTCACCTCCACCACAAAAGTGTCGATGATATTCTCCTGGGGGTAGAACCAGTGTTCCACCTCCTCCTGGCTCATGACAGGCGTGAGGTGGAACTGCTTCAGGTACCGGCTGAGGAGCTGGTGCACTACTGGAATGTCCTTTTTTTCCATTGGTCGCAGCCCAGCTGTCTTGGGAGTCTGGAAGAAAGAAACCAGAGAGCATGAGATGTGCTGACCATGAGCGCCCTGGTTCCCTTTCAAGTCCTCCACGAACCGAAAACCTCATGCTGTCTCCCTTCCTACCCTGACCCTGAGTCTATCCCCGCAGGCCCTCAAGAGAGCCTCCTCGATCATCTCAGGCAGCTCCCTCTCACCCCGTCCACGCCCGCAAGCACAAGTCCCGCCCTCACAGTGAATCTGGCCCTTTCCCTGCTGGTTAAGGCTGCCATCCTTGGCTAAGGCTGTTGCGCCAATCTCTTATCCACATGGCCCAGGCTGGCTTCCTAAGAAAACACAGCCCATCACAGAGCCCAAGCCCAGCCACCCTCGGAACCAGTGGCTGCTGCAGCTGTGATCGGCTGTCTCTCTAGCCCAGGAGCGCTCAACAGGAGCGATTTTGCCTCCCTGGGGGCCTCTGACCATATTTGGAGATATTTTTGGTTGTCACACTAGGGGGAGGGTAGCTACTGGCATGGAGAAACCAGGGATGCTGGTAAACATTCTGCAATATACAGGACGATCTCCTTGACCACCAATTACCCGACCCGAAGTGTCAATGGTGCCGTGATGGAGAAGCCCTGGCCGATGCATGGATGTGCTGAGGAGGGTTCAGCCCAGAGGTGCTCCTGGGCCTCCCAAAGGCTTTCTTAGCTCCCCACCTTCCAGCCTCACAACCTTCTCCCACTCAACTGCAGCTCATCTCTTTCTGCGCTGCTCCATCTCCTACTGACTTAGAGCACTTCAGAGACAGCACCCAGCCACAGGCACCGTGGAACCCTGGGGGCCCAGCAGAGTCTACACTGGATGCCCACTCAGGCATGTCTACTAGGACACCGCTGTACCAGTAGCACGCCTCGCAGGACAAGGATGCCAGTGAAATTCAGAAGAAAAGCATTAAATCCCCAGGACTTAATCTCCTGCCAGAATCCCACTCCACAGCTGCTTCTCCTTAGAAAATGCTTCAGTGGAAAAGAAGCCATGTGATGCTCGGGAATAAATACTGTGGCTGAGGGAACATCCCCAAGGGCTTAATACACAAAGGTGAAAAAAATGAAAAGTGTTAGTCACTCAATAGTGTCCAACTGTTGGCAACCCCATGTACTGTAGCCTGCCAGCCTCTTCTGCCCATTCTCCAAGCAAGAATACTGAGTGAGTGGCCATTCCTTTCTCCAGGGGATCTTCCCGACCCAGGGATGGAAACTGGGTCTCCTGCATTGCAGGCATATTCTTTACCGTCTGAGGTGAGCTCAGCCAAATCTGAAAATGGGGTGGAGTAGGTTTATATGGGGCTTCCCTGGTGGCTCAGTGGTAAAGAATCCGCCTGCCAATGCAGGAGACAGGGTTCAATGCTGACCCCTGGAGAAGAAAATGGCAACCCACTCCAATATTCTTGCCTGGGAAATCTCATGGACAGAGAAGCCTGGCACGCTATAATCCATGGAGTCAGAAAAGAGTTGGGACACAACTTCTCGACTAAATAATAACAGGTTTATATACCTCAGCCACTGCCTGACACAACCGCTTCCCAGCGTAAGACCTGCTTTATTTTTAAGCTTATACTGGAGTACAGTTGAGTAACAAGGTTGTGTTAGTTTCAGGGGAACAGGAATTGCTTTTAAAACTGCAGCTCCAGAAACTCCAGCTATTAAAATTCCTTGCTAAACCTGATGTCGCTGGGGAACACTCACTGACCTTATTTCTATATGGCACCTCTCGCAGTGACACCTCAAATCCTGGACTGAAAAAGCAGCCCTGCTGGGGTTCTTCCCCACAGGCAGAGATCCAGAGACATTCTCCTGGCTGCAACACCACTGAAAAGAACCCTCTCTGTCTGCCTAGCAGGCAGGACCAGTCTATCACGAGAGCAGAAAGGAGGGGACTCTCATCATAGCTCCCTAGTCTGCTTTCTTGGGCAGTGCCTAACTGTGCTGCAGCGGGCCCTCCCAACTAGACACTGATGGCCCCCGTCCAGGGGTGGGTCAGCCCTCAGGTCAGTGGGCACCCACTGACTGTGCTGACCCTGCCTGGAGGGGCTCTGAGGGAACAGAAAGGACTTTAGACCCAGGAGCATCCATCTCAATGGCAAGGCAAGCCAAGGCCCAGAGTTGAAAACCAGCTCACTGAAGCTGCCCAGTCCTTCAGCAGCAAAATCTGGGCAGGAGGACGGAGCCTGGAAATCTCAGCTCCCCTCGCAGGCTCAGTCACCTACCCTCCACCTGGCTCGGCTGAGGCAGCAACAGACACTCTGTGGCTCGTTTACACTGGTCCTGGGATGGGCTGCAGTACAGCAAGTGGATTCCTCTCTCCACTGTACTTCCCTTAGGCTGAGATTACAGACTAGGTGTTCTCTGAGTCTGCCAACAGACAGCAGAGAAGAGTCCAGGTGCAGGCTCAGGAAAACAGAGTCTCACTAAAGTAAAACTCTCGCTACAGATAAGAGAAGGACAGAAAGGGAAAGGCTAGGAATCCGGAAACTGTGAGCTGGGCTGCTTTTCTGGTAAGAGAGCCCCTTGCTCCTGCCCCAGGCCCTGCCAGGCTCTTCCGGCTTCCCTCCCTCCCTCCCTCCGGCTCCTGCCCAGAACCCGGGGCCCCACTGGCCTCTGGCAGTCGGTAGAGCTTCATGGTGCGCTGCATGGTCATATTTCTGCTCAAGTGGGAGAACTTGACTTCAATCAGCTTCCGGGGATTTAGGGACCGATGCCAGTACCTGCAGGGACACAGACCTCCTGTCCTCAGAGGGCCCTGGCAAGTCACACTAAGAGGACCTCTCCAGACGGCCGGCAGGTGGCGTGAGAGAGCCGCCAGGCCCCACTTGAGCCGGCCTCACCCCGGAGCTCTACCACCCCGCCACAGTGAGTGCAGAGCGGTCACAGCTCTTCCCATAATTTCTTTCTCAAGTTCACAAGTCCCTCCTCCGTACCAGCAGTTGTCTTGAGACAGCAGTCGTCACTGGGGGAATCAAGTCAGTGGAAAAGACCTGAGGTTCTCCGAACATCCAGCCTCTGCCTCCCTCCTCTTTGGCACCTAACTGATGTTTTCACTTTAGAAGTTCTTAAGGCAGAGCGTACTCAATTGTTCCAAAGAACTTTCAAAGGCAGAGGTTTTGCTTGGTTCACACAGAGATGAGACATGCTCTCTTTGGCCCACATAATATTCAGAACTGAGCCAATCATTTAAAACTATAGGACACTTACCATAAAGAACCAGATTTGGGCTCATCCTTTAAAACAAAACCCCAGTAGACTGACTCCCTGCCATTTCGATATGGCAGGAATCAGAGGGAGCTAAGAAAGCCTGACCCCTTTGGACAGGGCCTGCACTGTGCAGGCCGTTGTTCCTAGGCTCCCCTTCACTCCCCATGTGCCCCACCTGGCTCCTGTGGGCACCACCACCCACCTTTTCAGACACCAGAGCAGCGGGTGCTCTCGGCCATGCACTGAGCTGAGAGGCTGAGCTGTGACTCACGGTGACACAAGCTCCCCAACGAGAGTGGGCACGCCACCATTTCGAGAACCTTTCCAAGAAGAGGTTTTTACCTGCAGGTGCCGACAGGCTTTGGTAACACCACCCCAGCAGTGTAAACAGCTTGGAAGATGCCCTCCAGGTGAACCCGCCGGGTTATCTCACGGATCAGGACTGGAGCCACTCTCTTGGAGCGCAGCTTCTTGTGGACACACAGGAAGTTGATCTCTACCATCTTCTTCTCTCTGCAGAGTCAGAAGAAAACCCAGGGTCGAGGCTTTTAACAGGCGAGGCCATCCCTTCAAGCACGGGAGCCCCGTGCAGGGAGCGGAGCCCTCAGCACAGGTTCGTGTTCTGGCCCCACCTGCGCTCAGCAGCCAGGACTGGAATGCCCTCCCGTCACCCTGCTCTGTTGCACCAGGCAAGGAGCCTGCTCTCTTCTCAACAGACTCTACTTCCAAAGGTAAGTGGGACTCAAGTAAACGCCTTTATTTAAGGCACCACCAGCATCTTCCTGGTGAAGCCCGCAGAGCAGGCTGAGGGAGCCCCATCTTCAGCCATTAGGAACCCCTCAGAAGTCAAGGGCTATTCTATGATTTCAGGGATTCTGACTCCCCCAAGCCCAGAAGGTTGTGGTAGATAGATGGTTTTGACATTTCCAAAGACACGAAGAGCAGAGCTGGAAGGCCCCGCGACTGTGGATATGAGTCACACCAGCCCACTCCTCAGTGGCTCGAGCATGGCAACGCGTGACTGGCACAAGTGCCAACATGGAGCTGGTCAGGGAGTGGACCCTCAGGGTGGACCCCTTCCATCCCAGGTCACAGACGAGAGCCCCAGCAACAATTCAGAGCAAGACAGGCAGTTCCTATTATGAATTTCTATTCCCAGGACCCAAGTTCCCTCCCTTCAGGGGAACTACCCTCCTGCTTCTATGGAAGGTATGTATATGTTTTCCCCCCACCTTCCAAGACCAAGCAGGACAGTGGGGACATGGGGTGGGGGTGGCGCTGGTGCTTACGTGTCATAGATATGGATGTTTGCCGGGATGGCACTGATGAACCCAACCAGTTTCCGACTCGAGACCACTCGAACCCCACAGTGCCACTGGGGGAGCCAGCCAGGCGGCCGGAGAGCCCTGGAAGAGAGACAGGAGCTGTGGGCATGGGGCTGCCTGCCAGCGGGCTGGGCAGACTGTCTGGCCCCACCACCGAGTCTGGCTCTAACCTCATGCTACCACGTCCCTGGGGAGGGAACAGCTCACATCTCTGAAATCTGCTTTCAGGCCAAACCCTCCTGGACACCAGTGGGACCAAGTCACAGCCCTTTTTTGCTGCTCAGTCCATTTGGCCTATTTACCCAACCCAGGGCTGTCACACTGAAGACTTCACACTGATCCAGTTTCTTTGTGCTCACTCACTCTGACAGCCTGAGCCAGAGCCCCGGCCTCCTTGGCTCCAAATCCAGTGGGTCCCGTGGTCAGGAGCCGGCTGTGGAGCCTCTGGAGCTCTGGGCTCCATCTCCTCCCCGCCGTGCGCTCGGGCAGTCTTCCTTTCCCTCCCCCTTCAGACAGGTCCCCTCTTTGCCAGCCTCATGCCCTCTTTGCCAGCTTCATGCCCTACCTCCCTGGATATTAAACGAGGCCGGGAAGGGGACCTTGCTCAGCTAGGCAAGGCCATTTTCATACAACCGAGCATGCTCAGGAAATAGGATGAAAATGACCCTCTATTCTTTTAAATCTTAAGGTCTCATCCCTCCTTCCCTTCTTACCTAAAGTCATTATACAACAGACGATTTTTTCTTCTGGGTACCGATTCCATAAAGGAATTTCTCACCCAGTCACTGTGCCTTAAATAAGGTTTCAATTCTGAGCTCCACTGGAAACAAGTCTCAAAAATCACACACCAATTTGCCGTTAAAAGGTTGGCACTTAGGAGGGATGAGCAATCTGGTGCCTTGTTTTTCTGCTCTGTGGCTTCAGAACTGTAGGAAAGTCCTTACAACTCACCACAAAAGAAATTCTGGAGAATAATCAAATCGGAACATGTTGTCATCATCTTCCACATAGTTCTCATTCAAGAGAGTGTAGAGTTCTTTCAGCTGCAGAGAGAAGAGGGGCCGCCTTAGAAGTATTCTGCTGGGGGGCGGGGGGGGGGGGGACCAACGCCAATACCCTGGGGCTCCAAGCTGTTTGGGACAAGGCAAACTACCTAAAACTCTATTTAATCCCACAAATCCTTTTCATCTGGGCACAGCAGGGACTCCTGGAACAAGCAATCTAGTGCTTAAGAGGAAACTGAGTCAGCAGGAGTAGAGGAGCAGACTTAAACGCAGGAAGTGTGGCAGGCCAAGAATGTCACCCAAGTAAGAGACCACTCCACTGGTAAGACAAGGGACTGAATGAGCGGATGAACAAGGAAAATGAAAGCAAGAAGGTATCCACCTTGGGGAGCTAGCTGCAGGGGTTAACTCTCAACGCGCCAGAGACGCTGTGTGCTATGCAGGCAGAGTCGTGGGCAGATCCCAGAGGCAACAGATGGGAGGGATCTGCTAGCCCTGCTTGGCTCGGCTCTTCTTAGAAAAGTCCTCGAGGAAGGCCCGAGGAGAAGCCATCTCAGCCGGGCTCTGAGTGAACGTGGCGCCCCGTCCACGCTGGTGGTCAGCCCAGGCCTACTCACCACACCACGGTCCCCCAGGTCCAAGGCGTCCCAGGTGAAGCCCTGAGGCAGTGTGTAGGGCTCCTGGCGGATGTTGTCTTTGTCAGGCTCCACGGGTCCGTGCGTGTTCACAACCTCTCCTGCAAGTAGAACACAGCCATGAGCTTCACCCTTGCTTTTTGGGGAGGGAAGGGACTCAGCTCAAAAACTGACCTCAGCAAATTCCTCCTGTCCCCGGGAGCCTCCATCCGAAGAACACTCTCTTCTTGGCAACGGCAGACCGTCTCTCTGGCTACCCTTGGCCCCTAACTGAGGGCCAATTCTTGGCCAAACTTCAGAATAATCCTGGGAGCCAAGGTGGTTGGTGTCTTGGACCTTCTTTTAAATCTCCCTTCGGTTACTAAATGACAAACATGTATCTTGACTAACTTGGCTTCCTGCCTCCCAGCTGGTATAGAGTGTTGTCATGGCCCAGGCCCATAGACCTGGATGGATTTATAAGGAGTTGCAACAAGGCAGCTTTTGTGTCAACAGTAGTGACAATGTACCGGGCCCATTCCTGAGCTGGACAAGGGCGTCCAGGTGCTGGGCTCTCTCTGGGCCCTGCCAGCCTGGGCCTTCACTGACAGAGGCCAGTTAACTGCAGCTGCCAACTCGGGCCCACGGTGTTTACAGAGCCCTGTGAGCACCTCTGGGCTGAATCACTGAGTCTACACCACACTGCTGGGAAGTCACCCCCTGACACGACATCCCCACCCAAGATAGACATGGGGTGCAGGGGATGCTGAGAAGACAGAACCCCAATTCCTAACCCCAGCCAAACCAAGCCTATCTGACAGAACTTGGACACATCAGCCACATCATTTCAGCCTGGAATTATTTGGCCCTGGTAGTTTCTACAGTTCAGAGCGTATTCATTCATGTTCACAACTCAGAAGAAGGCAATGTTTAGTATACTTTAAAAATGGAGTCTTCAGGACGTCCCTGGTGGTCCAGTGGTTAAGAGTTCACCTGCCAATGCAGGGAACATGTGTCCCATCGCTGGTCCGGGAAGATTCCACACGCTGGGGAGCAATTAAGCCTGTGCGCCACAACTACTGAGCCCACACTCTAGAGCCAGTGCTCTGCAACAAGAGAAGCCGCTGCGATGAGAAGCCTGCACACCACACCTAGAGACTAGCCCTGGCTCGCTGCAACTAGAGAAAGCCCTCGCGCAGCAACGAAGACTCAGCACAGCAATAAATAAACAAAATTTTGGGAAAAAAACAATAGAGTCTTTGAAGAGAGCGAGCAGCACTGACGTATGTACACTACCACGTGTAAAACAGACATCTAGCTGGTGGGAGGCCGCTGTGTAACACGGGGAGCCCTGCTCGGAGCTCTGTGACAGCCTGCAGAGGTGGGGTGGGGGTGGCGGAGGGAGGCGACATATACAGTTCTAATGGCTGGTTCGAGCTGCTGTATGGCAGAAACCAACACAACATTGTAGAGCAATTATTCTCCAATTAAAAACAACAAAGAGAAAACAACAAAAATTTTTTAAAAAACAAGGAGCCTTTACAGAGGACCCACGGAGTCCACGGCTCCCAGCACAGGGCTCTGCACATTCTTGTCATTTAGCTCAAGCTTTTACTGATGGTCAGACTCCTGACCCAAACACACCACTCTAACCTGTAACAGGCAACTGTGGACCCTCCCAGGGATGGATCCGTGGGGCAGGTGTAGTGGCAACGGCTGCATCTGGCTGTGAGCCAAGGACACCACCATCAGAACTGACCATCTACCTCTCGCCTGGCACATTCACTGAACACCGGTTGGACATCATGCTCTAGGACAGGGCTGGGAAAAGGTCCCTGGCCTCACAAGACATACCATCTTCTGGGGAAATTGTCAAGAAACAAGTTGCAATCAATGTGCTAAGGGTCAAAGACTGCAAACAACAGGCAACAATGGGGTCACAGCAGGGAAGAATCCGGTTGACTCCTATTTATAAGCTGCTCTCAAGAGGAGGTTTCCTTGGGAGAAAGGCTGTATTTTTTTCCCCTAGTTTAGAAACTGGCTTTTTAGTTAATTCATAAAGTAGCCCTTGTGAATTAATTGACTAGAAGTCAATCCACTTTCATTTCCTTGCCATGAATAATTTTTTGAGCCTAACAAGCCAAGGGCCAGACCCCTGGGAAATACCAGGGATCCCTACTCTAGTCTTGAGTAGGTGCTAATCAATTTTCCCTATCTTGTTTTGAGTTTATACCCCTCTTTTTTTTTTAAACTTCAGAACCCTTTTATCATTTTTCCCCAAGATGATCTCACTGAGAAGATACAGGTGATCCTCCCTACCAGATGACAATAGTCTCAAGGCCAGATCATTTCATTCAGGCTGGCTACCAGGTCCTGCCTGCACCAGGCACCGCCATTTGCACCTTTACCATCTGTTCTCGGAACCCTAGACAGTGCCTGCTTGGGGGCAGGAGTTGGTGAATGACATGGATGCAGGTCCTTGTCATCATGGGGTCCAAAGAAACAAAGCAAGCGGGCATTTGCCACTCAGCATAATGAAAGTCTGCAATAGTGAAGTATGGGGGGATGAGGAGGAGATGGAGGAAAGGCCTCTCAGAAGAAACATCTAAAGATGTGACCTCAGGGATGTTCCTGGTGGTCCAGTGGTTAAGATTCCGTGCTTCCACTGCAGTGGGCACAGGTTCGATCCCTGGTCAGGGAACTAAGATCCTGCATAAAAAGAAAAAAAAAGATGTGACTTCAAGGATAATTAGGAATTAGGCAGGGGTCGACTGGGTGGGGCAGGGAGGGTGGTGGGTACACTGCGGGAAGAACAGAGTCAAGACCTGGAGATGAAAGGAGGGGAAAGAAACTAGGAGACAAGGCTGAAGAGAAGAGCAGGAGCCAATCGGGGAGGGCCCTGCAAGCTGCGAGAGGCTGGACTTTATCCTGAGGGCTGTGGGACATCCAGAATGGGTCTTTAAGGGGGATGGGAGGAAGCAGTGACATCCTGAGGGCTGAACTGTACAAAGAGCACTCATTAAGTGCTTGTCAACTGAGTAAACTTGTATACAAAATATTCAACTAGTAAGTCTTGATCTGTGTGTTGACAAACTGGTTCTCATAGGTTATCTCAAGGCTATTTACCATCTGCAAGACACAGCTGACAAAGCAGAGAAGAAACACTGAGAAAGCAGAAGCCACTTAGAGCAGACTCAGTCTAGGGTGCCGGCAATGCTGAGAGTGGCCCAGGGGTCCTGCCCGCCACCTTCTACTGGCTCACGAGCACCTCTGGCCAAGAAGGTGGGGGGCTGCTTCTCAGGGGGCAGAAATGCAGCCAATTATCTTTGGGCCTCCATGAACCAGCTGGGGAGGACACTGGGAACTTTGGAAGACAAACCTGGGCATTCAACAGTTCCTTTCTGTACACTCTACCCCTAAACTCTCTCTCTGCCTTCTAATACTCAAGATCCAAAAGTAAGCCACAGGGCAACTGTGAAGGACTTAGGAGAAAAGAATGCGAGCTCTGGGAGACCTTAAGCCAAACAAGCAGGACAAGGGAAGGACTGAGTGAGGAAACCTCTCTTTCAGGGCCCAGGCAACCAAGTCCAAGTCCACATTCTCCCTTTCTTTGGTAGAGTTACTTTCTAAACTAATCTAACTGTGGCCAGATTCCAACCCACTAAAGTCAGGCCAAGAAAAAGGATTCCTCATCCTTCCATTAGTGTGGGAAAAGGGGTGACTTTTAAAAAGGAGAATGACACGGTCTGAAAAAGGGGATGACAAGTTGATTTGGGCACACAAGAGAACTGTTATACAGCTGAAAACACTGGCTGTTTAGAAGCCTTTCAATGATGAACTTAGGATGACTGTAAACTTGAAATTAGGAGGATGATTTTAAAGAATTCTGGGTCTCTTGAAAGTATTAGTTGCTCAGTCGTGTCCGTGTCCTCTGCGACCCCATGGGCTGGGGCCTGCCAAGCTTCTCTGTCCATGGAATTCTCCAGGCAAGAAGACAGGAGTCCATAGCCATACCCTTCTCCAGGGGATCTTTCCAACCCAGGGATCAAACCCGGGTCTCCTGCATTACAGCCAGATTCATTACCATCTGAGCCATCAGGGAAGCCCCTAGCTCTCGTGAGTGGAATACAATCTAATTCTAACTCTCCTCACAAGTCGGGGAGTGCAGCAAACACAGGACACTTGATATGCTTGAGATTCACAATTACTAGCCCTCATTTAAGTGGAAAAAATGAAAGCAAGAAGCTATAAACGACACTACCCAAAGGACACCCAGAAGCAGAACTAGGCTGACACCTCAGCCATGAGGACCGACTAATGCCTGTGATGTGGTACCTTCTATCAGCTAACTCAGACACAGAGGAGGAATCCTTTATTTGGACTTGACTGACCTGAAAGGCAGACTGGCCAGACACTCGCAGTGATCCCTCTTCCAACGAGTCCCACACTACACACTGCCACAGGCACGGGGTGAGGAGACAAAACTGAGCCAGGACCTCCCTGGCGGTCCAATGGCTAGGACTCACACTCCCCGTGTAGGGGCCGGATCCCACATCTGACCACGAAGGTCAGCAATCATGCATGCCTCAGCCAAGCCCCAATGCAGCCAAATAAATAAATAGTAAAAAAAACCCCAAAAAACTGAGCCTCATTCCCCCTTTCCGAGATCATCCAGGTGCCAGTGAGGAGTACTGTGCCTTTTTCATAAGCTTTCTGAGAATAAAACTGGAGCACCCTCTAATTTACGGGTGGAGAAACTTTGGCAAACAACAAAGAGCAAATGAGCTGAAGCAGAAGAGAAGTGAACTCCATTATCCTAACCTGCCTCTTGACCAGGTGCCATGTCTATGAAGAATGGAGTCACCCATTTGCAAATTCTTAACGAAAAATAAAATCAAACCAAAACTCCATCTGAAAACAGCAAAGATGGAGGCTTCCCTGTTAGTCTAGTGGCTAAGACTCCACGCTCCCAATGCAGGGGTCCCTGGTTTGATCCTTGGTTGGGGAATTAAGATCCCACATGAGACAACTCAGGAGAGTTCAAACGCCGCAACTAAAGATCCCACATGCCGCAACTAAGACCCAGACCAGTCAAATAAACAAACAGATAAATAATAAATATTAAAAAAAAAAACAAACCAAAACCCAGTAAAGACGCATGTCAGTTCCCTCTGAATGTCTCTGTGTAATCCACTCAGAGGCGGAGCATGTAGCTCTTGATTCTTCCTGGGGGAGTGGTCACTGGGACCCGTTACTAGTAATGACGGAGTAACAGCATTTGTTGTTCAGTCGCTCAGTTGTGTCTGACTCTTTGTGACCCCATGGACTGTAACATGCCAGGCTTCCCTGCTCTTCACTATCTCCCAGAGTATGCTCAGATTCAGGTCCATGTGACCCAACGCCTTGCTGGAGGGCTTGGCCAGTGGCCTGGAACCTGGACAGCCTGGGCAGCCCAGCAGACTCGGGGGATGGGTCAGGGCGGGGTTCCAGTTGATAGACTTCAATACAACAGTGCCTGTCGCCCGTTCACCACCCATAACCACCCGGGCACGGCTTTGCTCTCCACCCCGTAGGGGCACATTTCAGCCTGTTTCTGGACTGTGACTAAGCTGCCCACCAACCATGTGCTCCAGAGCAGAACTTCTCAAACTCTCAAAGTGGACACAAACCCGCTGCAGGTCTAGGGCCTGAGCGTCTGCGTATCTACCGGCTCTTCAGCAAAGCCCGCCCACTCTGCTGTTCCGAGGGGCAGGCTCTGGAGTAGACGACTCTCCTAGGGCACAGATGCCCCCTCCCCTCACCAGCCTTCCACTCTGCCCTCGGCCCCTCCCCATCACACACCGTCAGCTTTCACCACGTCTCTGAAGGGGAGTGGTAACACGGACAGCCTGAAGGTCACCTAGGTTTGTGGTTCACACATACTTTTTTTTTTTTAAACACACGTACTTTCCCAGTCACACAGAAAACAGAAATTGGGCTACCGATGGGTCCAGAATCACGACACAACCACTACAGAAACAGAAACTTCCTGGCAATAACGCCCTGTGCAGTCACCATGGAGGCGAGCTGTGGCTGGGTGTCAGCAGGCATCTCTAACCTGCTACGACCAGTCCCTTCTGGAATGCTCTCATTTTCTGCCCGTCCCACCCCTCTGAGAGTTCATCATAGCTTTCTGAAGAGGTGCCAACCAAACCTGTATACGGTAGTCCAGGTGTTAAACCATAACCGTTAATCAAAATGTCAAGTCACTTTGCAGTCAGCACAGCACACACTGTCTGAGGGACAAAGGAAAGAGGTGGGGGACTGGCCCGTTCCGGATTAAACACTTGTCCAGATGTACAAGACAGTCTCTCTGTAAACTCAGTGTGAAACAACACATACACAGGCACACGTCCCCACTCATCACGTGCCTGGACACTGTCTTCCTTTGCAGATTTACTCTGGATGATGATGGGCTAAAAGGACCATTGTTTGTTCTCCATATGGGCTACTGTGAAATGATAAAGTCCCTGAACAACAGTCTTTTCTGAACTGCATTGTAAAGACTACCCTCTAAAAATGGCCACCAAGGAACAACAGGACTCTCTTGTCCTGCCTCACAATCCTGCGTGAACTCTTAGCATGGTTCAGGCGCATCCCATGCCCTCTCCTCGGGAAGAAGGCACATACATACCCAGTTTGGGGACGGGCTGCGTGTCCCAGAACTGGTAGCTTCGCTTGCTAGCCTCCTCCATGGTTTTTGCAGGTCCCTGACCCACTGAAAAAAGTTCAATAGCCTTCTGTATTTCCTGGATCCTCTCTGCTGGCAAAGAGTTCATCTGAACAAGACAAAGTTGGGAAGAGAAAAGGCCCATTATGTTAATAAGCATTTCTGATTCATTCAAGTTCAGCAGTTACGGGGGCACAATTCAAAGAAGGGGTGTGGCGCCTCAGAGGCCAACTGCTGCAGGACGACTAGAGAGAGTGGCTGACGCTGAGCCGAGCGGTGGGCGGGTGCTTCCCGCAGCTTTCTCCTCTTCTTAGTTTCATGATGTCTGATGGCGAAACCTGGCTCAGTGTAAAATTTCAAACAATGCGGCGATGTAAATATACACAGAAGGTAAAAAACCCAACAGTCCTGTCCCTCAGATATAACCCTTGTCATCAACAGTCTTAAATTTGGGACGTAGGGTGGGAAAAGGTAAATATGATCTCAGACTTTTCTGCATGCAAGTTCCAAACACACACACTATTTTCAAAAATTCAAACTGGATGGCACAGTATTATTTTACTGACTGACCTTCTTTAAACACTGTATCTTACAGACCATTCCAGGGGGTCACGTAGACCTGCCCATTCAACAGCTGATTCCCCTAAGAGCACAGACCGCAATGTATCTGGCCAGCCTCCTACCAACGGGCATTTGGTGATTTTGGTCTTCAGTTTTACAGACAGTGCTGTAATGAACTTTCTTCTGCATCTACTTTTTGCTCATTGAATAGGTCCTTCTGCAGGATAAAGTTTAAGAAAGGAAGACTGCTGGGTCAAAGGGGATGTACATTTGAGATTACATGTATTATCAACTTACTCTTTAAGAAGAGAATATCAATTAATAAAACAACGAACAGTGTAAGAGAGTATGTTTCTCAAGACTCTCATCATTAGATTTACCAAATCTTAAATTCTGCCAGTCTAGGGGGTGGAAATAGTTGCTTTAATTTTCATTGTAAGTTGAACCATCTTTTCATATAAAAACCTATTTCTTTGTGAAAGGCTTGCTTATTTCATTATTTTAAACTGACTGACTTATGTAGTGCAAGTAACTGCCCACTTTGTTATCTTTTGACTTTTTCAGAGAAGTTTGATAGCTGTTACTTTTCCTTTTATGGCGTCTGGATCTTATGTCTGGTTTCAGATTCTACAAATAAACACCTTTAGGTTCCTCTAATACTTTACTACTTCTTTTTTTCATTTAAATTGTAAAGGAATGGGAGACTACAAACCAACATATTTATATTGCTCATTCCTAGAAGGCAGAACTCTTAAGTGATTTTCATTTTGTTCCTGTTGCTAGGTTTTTTCCTACATTCCCTATAATGTATGGCATCACTCTCATAAAGAGAAAAACAGAAGGGCTATGCAAATGGTGTTCTGCTGCTGTTTTCTAATTTCAAAGTGAACCATTTTGATAAAGGTTTGAGTTTAAACCCCCACCAGAGTCATCCAAACACCCACCCCCAGAGAAAGAAACAAACAAGAATCCCTGAAGCGGAAGCAGGGCTTGGGCTTGGGCTTGGGCTTGGATTCCTGACTGAAAGACCTGGGTAAACCACTTCCTCACATCTTTAACATGGGAAGACTCCCACCTACCATGTAGAGAAGTTGAAGGCACCTCGTTAGTTTAAACGATGTGCCTGGCAAGAACCTAGCTAGCCAACATGGTGGTCAACAGTGGTGACTTTTTTTCATAGTGGGCTTGGTATTGAAAATATTAAAAAAGCTGCTTGAAGTCGTATCTCAATAAGGTAGGAGATTTGAGGCAGAGTATAACTTTTGAGACATAAAGCAAAGTGTGGGTATACTGATGAGACTAGACTTTTTGTGAGGCTTGTAAACTGAAGTAATACTAAGAGGAATTATGGATCTGTTTTGAGCTTCCTCCAGGACCTGCTTTGAAGAGGATAGCACTTCTCTGAAATAAAAGGTTTTCTTTTTTTTAAAAAAGAAACGTTAATCTTTATTTCTTTATTTAATGTCTTAAGACCAGACCGTGTGTGGCATATGGGATCTTAGTCCCTGACCAGGGATCAAACCCATGCCTCCGGCATTAGGAGCTCAGAGTCTTACCCATTGGACCACCAGGGAAAACCTAAAAGGTTTTCTTTTCTTAATTTTGTTTTATTTACGAAACAAAACAATCCTTACCCACACTTCTGTGTTTCGTGTCTGTGTGTCAGTCTTAGACGTAAGCTTTAGGCCAGTGGTTCTCGCCTATGGAACTCAGAAATGAGCTCTGTGGGGGTCTCAGTACTGTGACGATGGCATCTAGAGAATGCTTGAGAAACACAAAGGTCTGCCTTTAAAGGAACAGACCTTCATTTTCATAGTGGTGGGGACCAGAGAAAGAAAAGGCCAAGAACCACTACTCTAGGCCACAGGGGGCTGTCGTGAGGGAATCCTCTCCAGCACCTAGCACAGCACCACATGCAGTTATGCACGTAAATTCTGAGGGGGCACTGTGCTTGGGGGTCAACGTCTAACCTGCTGTGCCTTTCAAGGTAGACCAGCAGTTTCATCACTTAGGTCTAGGGCAGCAGGGGGAGCCTACCCCTCCATCTTGAAGTAATACCAGTGGAGACTGGCAATCTATTACATTGTTCCCATGCATCTATCCCAAAGCCTCTCTTCTGAAAAAGCAACTCTCAGGCCCAAGAAAACAGAGCCTCCTTGTTACCTTCACAGGCTGATCCTGGGCTGAATCTGTCTCGCTGCCTTTCTCTTTCTTCTTTTTTTGTTTCTTTTTCTTCTTTTTGGCTCCAGTGTCATTGGCTGGACTCAAACCACTGTAAGACAAAGTAAATACTGATGCAGGCTTTTTAAAAAATCATCTGTTTTGAGCTGCACTAACAAAGAAGCTTTCTGTGGAACCAGACCTTTCTTAATCAAGCCTGTGGGCTTCAGAAGCAGACCAGAGAATCCAGGCCCCAGAAGGGGCATTTGGAGAATGCCAGCGGACACAGCTCTCCTCTCCACTCCTATCAGGGAGGGAGAGTGCCCAGGGAGGGAGCCATGTGCAAAGAACAGCCTATTTGTTTGAAAGGACCTCTTCTGTTCTTGCTTTTATTTTATGTGGTTTATTTTCTTTATTTTTTTGGCTGCGCCAATTGACTTGAAGGATGCTATCTCCATGACCAAGAATGGAACCTGGGCCCTCAGCAGCGAAACTGTGGAGTCCTAACCCCTGGACCACCAGAGAATTCCAGTGGTTCATTTCCTTTAGATTGCAAGGTTGCTCACATCAAAGGAAAATGTAATTGTTAACAGGGCATTCATGTTACCAACTCTTCCTTAGAGTCCAGAATTTAAAGAGATGGCAGCCCAAAGCGATCTTCTGGAAACTCTTCCTCACTTCCACTTCCCGCATCCTGCTGCACTGGGTTCTCTGAGCTGCACCAGCTGAACCTAAGACACAAGGCAGCTCTGGAAGGGAGGAAGGAGCAAGGAAAAGGGCAGCTTAATGTTGCTGTGATCTGTGTCCAAAATAGTCAAGCGATCATGAGAAATGCCTAAATCAGGCCTGTAGGATAGAGGACAACTGTCAGCTGGCTCGACTGGGTAACCCCCACCAGCAAAACCCAGCACTAGGAATCTTGGGAAAACAACAACAATGAACACCCAGCCAGCCCTGCTCAGAAGAGATTTACACATGCAACATGTGTGTGCGTGTGAACCACAGCAACGGGGATTTCCTCCTGCTGCTTTCCTTCTGCATGACTCACCCAACGAAGGAAGCAAAAACAATTTCTTAGCCACATTTAACCGTTTTCTACCGGCTTTTAAAAAATTGTTCTCTGTATCATCTCTCAACATTTCTACTGAGACACAAATCACATATTACACTGTGTTTTGCTAACATCTTTTTTCATTTATTTGCTCCCAAATGCTTTCTCCCAATTCTTGTTGAGTTTCGGATATTAGCTTTGATACTGGGTTTCCCTCATTTTACTGATGAATTTTAAGGTTCACTTTGAAGCCTGCTTCCCTAATCACTGTCAAAATTAAGTTCCTGACATGCTTTCAGTGATCTTGGCATTGTCAGACCAGGAGTAATGCTGGGCTATCACGCTGCCATTCTCTCTGGAAATTTTCCATTAAATAAGTTAAAATAAAGGGCTTCTCTGGTGGCTCAGTGGTAATGAGTTCACCTGCCAATGCAAGAGAGACAGATTCAATCCCTGGTCCAGGAAGATCCCACATGCCTCGGAGCAGCTAAGACCGTGCAACACCACTATTCAGCCCGTGCTCTGGAGCCCCAGGAGCCACAACTATTGAGCCCACCCGCTGCAAACAATGAAGCCCCGGGACTCTTGAGCCTGTGCTCTGCAACAAGAGAAGTCACTGCAATGGGAAGCCGGCACACCACCACTACAGAGCAAGCCCCAGCTTGCTAGAGAAAAGTCCGAACAGCAACGAAGACCCAGCACAGCCAAAAAAAAAATTTTTTTAAAGAAAGTCAAAATTAGGAGCCCAATCAAAGGGTACCGTAAACCCTACTCTGCAGATCAGCTAAGTGCAGGGTATTGTTTTAGCTGTATAGGCTAGATAACCAATTTTCAAAGAATTAAAATAGTATAAAATACGTTTTACATACCACTGTGGTAAGTACTATTTAAACTTTATTTTATAATTCAGAAAGGCTTCATGGTCTTAAAGTGCCTGGGGGTTATTACGAATATTAACTCTCATCTCCTAGTATGTCGTGCAGGGAGCAGGCAACGTGCTGCCATTTCCTGTTGTAGAATGTCTTCAGATTTCTGTCTTCCTAGTCCTGGTTAGAAGCACTCCCATCCACACTTCATGACCTTACACTTGGACTAAAGTAATCCCCAGCCTTTCCTGGCTCTCCCTGACCTCACATCTGCTCTGCCTTATCCTAAACTCAGCAGAGGGACTCGCCTCTGTGAAAGTGGCTTTCCACCAGTCCCTCCCATGCTTGAAAGTCTACGGTGACAGCGGCTTCTTACTCTAGAAGGTATCCGACCCAGCTTTCCCCGTGGCCCCTCACATTCAGTTCCCATCTAGCTCTTCCACCCTCACCACCCCTGCCCTGGAATAAGTGTGCCTGCACCCGTGGGGCCAGGCCTCTCATCAGGCCCCTGGTGCAGAAAGACTGAAGTCAGAGAGATTACATCAACGCTGGAGGTCACTGTACTCCCAGCGTAAGGTCATGAGGTGCAGAGGCAAATGCACTTCCCAGGTATCAGTGGGACCCAGAAGGCACACCACAGAAGGAAAGCTGATACCACTGAGGGGGGGGATAAGTCGAGCTCCTTAAAACTAGCAGCTCAGCGAAAAGCCCGAGGCCATGGCAAAGAACAGGAACTCTGAAGCCATTTACAAACTGAAGATAAAAGTTTTCCTCTTATTATCTCAATTTTGATATCTTGCACAGGCCTGATTGCAGTCTGTGACAACTCTACCGTGGTTTTCTGATTCCAGAGACATTCTCACTTCAGTCTCAGGATTATAAGGTTTAAAAGCTGGTTGATGGTAGGAGATAAAGCAGGGTTCCATTGCTGATACAATTTATAAGTCCTTACTCATTTCAGCTTATGGAATGAATTCTCTGGTCCCTGTAAGTGAATTACCATAAGAACTGTTTTTTATGGGAAAAAAAAGCATCAAAAAGGTTAAAGTGAAGAACTGCTGCATATTAACCAGCTGGACACTTACTAAACACAATTTCACATAAGGAAAATAGAAGAAATTACTTCCTCCAACTGTAGACATCTTTTCATGTGGGTGAAATCCCTAAAAAGTTCCCTTCCTGCTTTTGTTCTTGCTGTCCAGTGGAAGTAGTCATCTCTTCCCAGACCCCATTTCTGGGGAAGGACCTTGGCCTGAACTCTTGTTCTGTTTTATGCATTACTAATACAAGTGCCTGGCAAACTCCAAGACCTAAACTAAAACCAGAGAGCTAATTTCATTTTCCTTGCATTGGCTTGAATCTGCACATGCAGTTACTGAGCAACGATCCTGTCTCAACCTGTACATGAAGAACACAGAGAGGAGACACTTGAAGAACAAAAGGAAGTTTAAAAGAAAAGTCAGTCACTGAGCGACCAGGTACTGAGCCACCTTCATAAGAACATCATGAGCTCATCACCATCTCTCAGTTAACAAGCCAAACAGGAAGACAAGTGACTCAGAGAAGAGACTTCCAAGGAGCCCAGGAGGGTGAGCTTTCTAGGTGATTATAGTAACTTTAATTATCTGTAAGAAAGCAAACAAGCTCAGAGGCCTTGAGAGTAGGTCTTAAGAAGTATTAGGGGTAGCTTCTTAGGAAGCATCTTAGGAAGCCAACACCATTTCACAGAAGGATGGGTTCAATTCGCATTTAGGAAGAACGAAACCAAAGGACCCCATGGAAGCAAGGCTGGTCCTCCTCAAGAGAATTTGGCTTCATTTTTAAAGGGACCTGGAGTCCATCCCCACTGGGTGGTTATCCCTGGGTATGCTGGCACTCTGCAAATGAAAACAAAAAGTCTCTCAAAGATCTTACTAAACCTGTCAGTCACCCAAACATACTTCAAAGGGATGGGCCAGAGCCTTGGAATACGGCAAATCAAAGTCTACCTTTGGTTCACTTGGTTCCAAAAGAATGAGCAGAGAATTAGTGAAACTTGCCAGCTCTTCGTTTTTTTTTTTGGAGAAGGGGCTGTTTGCCTGCAATGGAAAAGGAGACGGGAGTTCACAGAAAAATTTTGGAATGTACATTCGAAAGTAAAGCTGATCAACTCAAGTCATTAGCGACCAACCTAGCAAGTACGGGATGAATGAACAGAATGACAAAACCAGGAACAAGGAAGAAAAGCGATCATGAAATGTCATTTTTAAAGGAAGGTCAAAATATTCTAAGTTCAAACAAGTAAGAAATCCTATGGATGCTCTGGAAGAAAGTCAGGGCGGGGGAGGAGATGGAAAAGGAACCTCAGTACTTATTTCTAGAAGCAGAACACAGCATCAGAGTGTGAGCGAGGTGGGAGGGAAGGGCAAGCTGACAAGAAGAACAGCAGCGAAGCTCTAAACAACAGGAGCAGGGTGGGTCCATGACTCGGGCCTCCTCTTGGTCCTGCTGATGCCAAAGTCCACGCAAAGGTGTGGGGCTGTGGGACAGAAAGCTGTTATCATGGAAGCTAAACCACCGGGGCTGGAAGGAGCTCTCAGGGCCATAGGGCTTAACCTGTTGTTTACAGAAGAGGAAACCAAGGCCCAGGGACGTGATGCTTCAACCAACTGACTGGAACCCAGGGACAAGTCACCAATCTAAGGACCTGGCCCACTCTACTCCCAAACACTAAAGTCTCATTCCCTGTGAGAATTTATCTGAGAACCTTCAAAAGCCCTAATATAAATTTCTGTGTGACAGATGAGCAGATACTAAAGGCAAGAAGGAGAGTGAGCCACGTTTTATCCAGGAAGCCTCCTCTGAATACTCCAGCTCCAATGCTCCTTGAGGTCTGTCTCTTTTAAGGTTATGATCTCCCATACAATTTAATACTTCACATATAATAATGGGTTGCTGCCTGGCTTCCCAATGAGATAAAACAATTTTTCCTGAGTCTAGGGACCCCATGTTACACAGCTGTTTCTCACAGCCTCCCTAGTTATGCTGAGCACACAACTGAGAGTTCACCAAATACGTGCTTGACTGATGCTTTCCAGGCGTAATAGACTAAAATAAAACCCTGAGAAGCTAGAGCCCAAAAGAGGGGCAACAAAACATCTTCAGCAATATTTTCAGAGGACAGCTGCGCTAATGTTGCAAGACAGTGGTAGCGAT